AATGAGGTAGAAAATGTAATAATACAATAAAATCAGTAAGAAATGAATAATGAGAAATTACAGAAAAGTAACAACACATCAAATAGAGGTAGAGGGGCGCTCCCAAGGTACCGCCTCGTAGTCCCAAATATAAATACACAACAGGGGGATCTCCCGAGGTACCGCCTCGTAGTCCCAAAAGTAAATATGCAACAGGGGATCTCCCGAGGTATTGCCTCGTAGTCCCAAAAGTAAATACACGACAGGGGGAGCTCCGAGGTACCGCCTCGTAGTCCCAAAAGTAAATACACAACTCATAACCTATGGAACAACGAATTTACAGCAAGGAATTATACAGTTAAAGACTGAATACAAGATTACAGAAGCAAGTAATTCAACTAAGCATGTTGCATAAATTGCACGTAAGAGTTAAGGCACGTACACATGAGACATTAGGCTAAACATGATGACTACACAGACTAGAACAACTCAGTTAAGGATTTAAAAGAAAACTACTCAGCAAGAACTAGATTTTTCAACATTTAACCCGAGTATGCACTCGTCACCTGGCGTACGCGGGCTTCACGTATTTCAAATATCATAATAGTACCAAAACCTAAGGGGAGTTTCCCTCACACAAGGTTAGACAAGTCACTTACCTCAAGTCTCGCTCAATCAGTCGATAAGGATGCCCTTCCCTCGACTTTCCGACTCCGAACGACCCAAGTCTAGCCAAAAGCAATTACATACTATAAATACAATTACAAGAAACTAATTTAAATAATAAATCTACGACTTTAGCAAAGAATCAAAAAATCACCACAAAAGGTCGACCCGGGCCCATTTCTCAGAATCGGGTAAAAGTCACAAAATATGAATACCCATTCGATATCGAGTTCACCCATATCAAAATTACTCAAATCCGATACAAAATTCCCGATCAAAACCTCAAAATTCGGCCTAATAATTTTCCCCACCTTTTTTTAAATATTTCTCAACCTAAATCTTTAATTAAAGGAAGAATAAATGATATCTTAATGGGAATCAATAATAAATAAGTCAAGAATCCTTATCCAAATATTTCCTCTAAAAAACCGTCGAAATTTCGCCTCAATCTGAGCTCCCAAAATCAATTTGTGCTATGAACTCAAACCCTCGTTTTTGGAATATAATCTGCCCAGGCTTTTCGCTTTTGCAGTCAAAAATCCGCTTCTGCGGAGTTCACTTAAATTACCAGACTCCGCACCTGCGCGCAATCATCCGTATCTGTGAAAGTGCTTCTGCGGTCCCTCGTCTGCTTCTGCAAAAGGTCACTGCCGCTGGCCAACCGCTTTTGCAGTCCAAAGCCAGCATTTGCGGACAGGCCCCCCAAACACTCGTCCGCTTCTGCGATCAATCTTCCGCAGAAGCGACTCCGCTTCTACGGCCTTCGCGTCGCACCTGTGACCACTGGCCATCCTCACCATCCCACATCTGCGAGCTCGCACCTGCAGTCAATCATGCGCAGGTGCGATTGCACCAGAACTTGTGCCTTCAGCCATTCTCACAAGTCTAAATTTATTCCGGATTCAATCCGAATCGCACCCGAGGCCCCCCGGACCTCGACCAATTGTACCAACCAGTCTTAAAAAATCATACGAACTTAGTCGAGCCTTTAAATCATATCAAACAATGCTAAAACTACGAATTGCACATCGATTCAAGCCTAATGAACTTTAAAACATAAAACTTCTACATCCGACGCCGAAACCTATCAAATCAAGTCCAATTACACTCTAATTTTGCACACAAGTCATAATTGACATTACGGACCTATTCCAACTTTCGGAATCAGAATCCGACCCCGATATCAAAAAGTCTACTACAGGTCAAACTTCTCAAAAATCATCCAATTTTTCAACTTTCGCCAATTGACGCTAAAATGACCTACGGACCTCCAATTCAACATCCGAACACGCTCCTAAGACCAAAATCACCCTACGGAGCTATTGGAACCGTCGAAACTCCATTCCGGAGTCGTCTTCATATAATTCAAACTAGGTAAGCCTAATAATTTACGGAATAGCTGAATATACAAGTGAACTCAAATTCTCAATACATGAAATACAAATAAAAACTGCGATTCAAATAATTATAACTCCCAAAACCACGGTAGAAACGAGTCACAACCTCTAAGAGGAAATGTTAAGTATCTCTATACATCAGAGTCTAATAAAACAAAGAAAGCAACATCATAGAGATAGAGGGGGACTTCGAGGTCTAAGGACGCTGCCAGATATACCTTGAAGTCTCCATATTTGGTCTAGCTCAGTGGTATCTGGTCTGGTAAGCAGTGCCTGGATCTGCACAAAAAGATGTACAGAAGTGTAGTATGAGTACACCACAACGGTACCCAGTAAGTGTCAAGCCTAACCTCGGTAGAGTAGTGATGAGGTCAGGTCAGGGACCTACCGGAATAAAAGGGAAATGAGGCAAAAAATATAATAATACAATGAAATGACTGAGAAATTATAGAAAAGTAACAGCACAACAAATAGCGGTAAACAACATGGGTGCTCCCGACGTACCGCCCCGTAGTCCCAAAAATAAATACACAACAGGAGATCTCCCGAGGTACCGCCTCATAGTCCCAAAGGTAAATATGCAAAAGGGGATTTCTCGAGGTACCGCCCCGTAGTCCTAAAAGTAAATACATGACAGGGAGAGCTCCCGAGGTACCGCCTCGGAGTCCCAAAAATAAATACACGACAGGGGGAGCTCCCGAGATACCGCCTCGTAGTCCCAAAAGTAAATATGCAACAGGGAATCTCCCGGGGTATCGCCTCGTAGTCCCAACAGTAAATACACGACATGGGGAGCTCCCGAGCTACCGCCTCGTAGTTTCAAAAGTAAATACACCATAGGGGGAGCTCCGAGGAACCGCCTCGTAGTCCCAAAAGTAAATACACAACTCATAACCTATGGAACAACGAATTTACAGCAAGGAATCATACAGTTAAAGATTGAATACAAGATCACGGAAGCAAGTAATTCAGCTAAGCATGTTGCACAAATTGCAAATAAGAGTTAAGGCATGTAGACATGTGACATTAGGCTAAACATGATGACTACACAAATGAGAACAACCTAGTTAAGGATTTAAAAGAAAACTACTCAGCAAGAACCAAATTTTTCAACATTCAACCCGAGTACGCACTCGTCACCTGGTGTATGCGGGCTTCACGTATTTCAGATATCGTAACAGTACCAAAACCTAAGGGGAGTTTTCCCCACATAAAGTTAGACAAGTCACTTACCTCAAATCTCGCTCAATCAGTTGATAAGGATGCCCTTCCCTCGACTTTCCGACTCCAAACAGCCCAAATCTAGCCAAAAGCATTTACATATTATAAATACAACAACAAGAAACTAATTCAAATAATAAATCTACTACTTTAGCAAAGAATCGAAAAATCACCCTAAAAGATCGACCCGGGCCCACATCTCAGAATCGGGTAAAAGTCATAAAATACGAACACCAATTTAATATCGAGTTCACCCATACTAAAATTACTCAAATCCGATACAAAATTCCCGATCAAAACCTCAAAATTCGGCCTAAGGATTTTCCTACCTTTTTCACAATTTACCTAAATCCTTAATTAAAGGAAGAATAAATGATATCTTAGTGGGAACCAATAAAAAACAAGTCAAGAATCCTTACCCAAATGTTTCCTCTGAAAAACCTCGAAATTTTGACTCAATCAGAGCTCCCAAAATCAATTTGTGTTATGAACTCAAACCCTCGATTTTGGAATATAATCTGCCTAGGCTTTTCGGCTTTGCGGTAACAAATCCGCTTCTGCGATGAATTCTCTGCATCTGCGGAGTTCACTTAAACTCCCAGACTCCGCACCTACGTGCAATCATCCGCCTCTGCGGTCCCTCGTCCACTTCTGCGGAAGGTCACTGCCGCTGGCCAACCACTTCTATGGTCCAAAGCCCGCTTCTGCGGGTGCGCATCTGTGCAAGCACGTCCGCTTCTACAGACAGGACCCCTAAGCACTCGTCCGCTTCTGCGATCAATCTTCCGCAGAAGCGACTTCGCTTCTGCAGCCTTCGCGTCGCACCTGTGATCACTAGCCATCCTCACCATCCCTCATCTGCGATCGCCTGCTTGCTTCTGCGAGCTCGCACCTACGGTCAACCTTGCGCAAGTGCGATTGTACCAGAACTGGTACCTTCAGCCATTCTCACAAGTCCAAATTTGTTCCGGATTCAATCCGAATCACACCCGAGGCCCCATGGACCTCGACCAATTATACCAACTAGTCTTAAAACATCATACGAACTTAGTCGAGCCTTTAAATCACATCAAACAATGCTAAAATACGAATTGCACATTGATTCAAGCCTAATGAACTTTAAAAGTTCAAACTTCTACATCGGACGCCGAAACCTATCAAATCAAGTCCGATTGACCTCAAATTTTGCATACAAGTCATAATTGATATTACGGACCTATTCCAACTTTCGGAATTGAAATCTAACCCCGATATCAAAAAGTCCACTCCCGGTCAAACTTCCCAAAAATCATCCAATTTTCTAACTTTCGCCAATTAATGCTAAAATGACCTACGTACCTCCAATTCAATATCCAAACACGCTCTTAAGACCAAAATCACCCTACGGAGCTATTGGAATCATCGAAACTCTATTCCGGAGTCGTCTTCACATAATGCAAACTACTAGAACTTAAACTCCCAATTTAGGGACTACGTGTCCCATTCTACTCTGAAACTCTCCCGAATCCGACACCAAGCACCCCGGCAAGTCACAAAACCCAAAAATAAAATAGAGGGAGCAATGGATAGGGGCTAATACTCTCAAAACAACCTGCCGGATCGTTACAAGAAGTGCTATTGTTTGCTTCTTGTGAGAATTTTCCTGATCTTTTAGAATTTTTCCAACCCCACTACTCATTCTCATTGAAATGAACAACTCTTGTATTTGAGGATGATAAATGTTGTAGGCTTTAGAAACTAAACTGTAGCCCACAAGGATGCCTGAAATTGCCTTCTTGTCCAATTTATCACGCTTAACCTGAAGAACATGAGCAAAGCACACACAACCAACACTTTAAGAAAACTCAGTGAAGGTTTAAACCCGTACCAAGTTTCAAATGGGGTTTTATCTTCCAAAGCCTTCATTGGAAGCCGATTTTGCAGAAAAACTGCAGTATTCGTTGCCTCAACCCAAAAAGTTTTAGGCAACTCTTTCTCATGCAACATACATTTGGCCATCTCCATTATTGACCTATTTCTTCTTTCACTAACTCCATTTTGTTCTGGAGTATATGGTGTTGTAAGCTGATGCACAATGCCAGCTTCCTCGCAGAATGAATTAAATTATGCTGAGGTATATTCCTTTCCATTATCAAACCTTAAAGCTTGTATCTTGCAGCAGCTTTGACTTTCCACCAAATATTTGAACTTCCAGAATACGCCAACAACTTCTAACTTGAATTTCAAGAAAACAATCCAGCACATTCTTGAAAAATCATCAATGAAAAGAACGTAATAAAGGCTACCTTGTAATGATGGAGTTATTTGAGGTCCGCTATATCAGTGTGCACTAGTTGTAGCTTTTGTGAGGCTCTCAAGGTTGATTTGGGAAATGGCTTTATGTGCTGTTTACCAAATTGGCAAGCTCCGCATTCTGTAGAATTCACTTCCAAGTCAGATAAGTTTACCATCTTCAATTTTTGCATTTTGACAATCTCATGATAGTGATAGTGACCGAGTCTCTTATGCCATAACTCAGCAACATCTTCTTTTGCTGAATACACCATTCGCTCTTCAAATAGATCTAATGAGAAATTTCTGCCTCTCATTTTGACTTTAAACAAGTCTTTCCCCGAGGGATCCTTGATTAAGCAACAGTTATATTCAAAATACAATTTGAAACCTTTTTATAACGGTTGACCAAGGCTTAATAAGTTTTGATCTAAATCAGGTACATTAAGAACATCATATATTGTTTTAGTACCTGATTGTGTCTCAATTGCAATGGTGCCTATTCCTTTTGCTGGAATATGACTGACATTGCCTATTCTAACCTTTTTAGCTCGAGTAGGCTTTAATTCCTTGAAGAGTTCGTTATCACAAGTCATGTGATTTATGCATCCGCTATCGATCAACCAAGACTCGCTTGAAATATTATTTGTAAAACATGATGCGACAAAGAGTTGATCCTCCTCCTGTTCATTAACAACCCGAGCATCCGCATCCTGCTGTTGAATTTTGTTCCTGCAAATGATTGCTTCATGCCCAAATTGGTTGCACTTACTTCACTTAGCATCCGACCTTTTCCAACACTTATATGTTGCTTGTCCGGTCTTGCCACAGTGCTTACAAGGAGGGTAGTTTCCTTTTGAGCTACATGTTTTGCTTTTGTTTTTGCGAGTTGCACCTTCTCCATCTGCTGGCCGGTACTTCTTATTCTTCTTCTTTTTGTATCTTCCACCATCTTCATGTTTGGCGGGCAAAGCTCCCTCTACGTGACGATCTTGCCTCATAAGCCTTCGTTGTTCTTGTGCCTGTAGAGCATTTAACAATTCCGCCAAGGTAATCTTGGACATATCTTTAGTGTTCTCCAAGGTGGTTATAGATGCTTCATATATTTCGGGCACCGTTACAAGAATTTTTTCAACAATTCTTGAATCAAGAAATTTGGTTCCAAGCAACCTCACCTTATTGACGATGCCAAGCAATCTATCTGAATACTCTTTGATTGTTTCAGACTCTTTCATCCTTTGCAACTCAAATTCTCTTATTAAATTGAGCACTTGCATGTCTTGTATCCTTTCATCTCTTGCATATTCTTCTTTGAGATAATCCCAGACCTCTTTTGCTGATTTGAGAGACATAATTCTTGTAAAAATTGTTGTCAAAACAATATCAAATAGAGTTGCTTTAGCCTTGGATTTTCTCGTTTTCTTTTCCCTGTGACTCTTGATTTGGGCCATGGTGGTATTATTTGGTAGTGGGGGAATTTCATAATCCTCTTCCACAACCTCCCAAAGATCCAAAGCCTCAAGGTAGGTCTCCATTCTCACCGCCCAAAGTTGGTAATTCTCACCATCGAAGACAGGAGGAGCTATTTGAAAAAAACTGGTTTCAGTCTCCATTACTCACAGATCCCTTAAGAAGAGAAACCCCGATATCAATTGTAGGTTTTGTAAAAGAAGAAACAAGGAAAATAACAGAGCAAGAGAAACTAAAAAAGGATTGAGAGAATATAAATGCAGAAGAGTTGCTTTACCAGTGAAAATAGCTTACTTTTATTGAATATCTTCTTCTGGTTAAATAGTCGATATACAAACTGAAAGTAGGTAAATATGCGAAACTGAAGCAGTCCTATTTGCTATGCTGAAAATCTGAAAACGACTAACAGTTTCCCATAAAATAGGAATACCAATTTGACTATGAATGACTTATCTAAAAAATCTGGAAATGAAATAAAACATAAATCTAACATGTCACGTGCATTCCTTAAAGCAAACTTTTAACAGGCTATAGGGTTTCATCACCGACAATAAAGGGCTACGATTTTGTTTGTTGACAATTTGACCTAATAATATTTTTTTCTCAATGATAACTAGGCAAAAGGTTTTATTAATCAACCAAAAACCAGTAACAAGATAGCGCTGTGAAGGTAAAAAAGTTGTTTATAGATATATCCTATCTATTCCTAAAGAGTTGCTAAAAAGTCTGGGAAATATTATCTAAGTTCACATACATCCGTGGGGTTACACCACATAACTAATTGACACAAACACCTCTACTTCAGTTTATATAAATTTTCAGCCTTTCCTTCAAATACACTCGAAAGTTGATGCGAATAAATGCAGGATAACAAAGGTATAAGAAAGGGTGAAATGGAAGATTACTCACCATTGTTGTAAGTTCTGGTTTATGCTGAGCTAGAGGCCTCTTAACAACTATTGAAGCAGCTGATTTGACATATGATGGCTTTTGAGGAGCAAGTAGTCTAGCACCATCTTCTTGAAAAGGAGGAAGACCAGGCGGAAGAGGTGGTCTCATCATTGGTGGAGGTCCCGCAGGAGGTCCAAAAGGTGGTCTTGGCATTAGAGGGACCATCATTCCAGGTGGAGCAAGGTGGATCGCAATTCCAGGTGGTGGCCGTATATCAGTTAGAGGCGGGGGTGGAGGGAATCGAGATATTCCAGGAGGTAATATGTCAGGCTGCAAAGTTGGGACCATGGCAGGTCCAAAGACTGGAGGTTGTTGCCGTGGAGGTGGTGGAGGTGGCGGCGGCAATTAAAGATGACTTTTCGTTTCTGAAGCTTTAGCATTAGATTCAGCAGGCATGCAATCTGACTTCAATGGCATTCTGGAGGTGGCGGAGGAGGAAGCACAGTTGATGCCTGAGAAGTTAAAGAGATCGTGAACAACTTTAGGGCCAGGGAGTAGCAACCACAAACAAGACCACTTCTAATGTTCCAGAAAGGGATATATATAT